ACATAGCTAAACATATTTTATTGCACAGAATATGAAAGTCTTTTCAGCCTATTTAATGCTGATTTTAAGTGTTAGCGTTTTAATTGATGATGATGAAATATTTTTAACTGACAACTTGTACAGTGGATTCATGACCACCTGTTAATTTCATTTTTGTTGAGAAACTTTGGGCCATTTTGAATTTTACTAGACATCAACAGATGCATGTACTTCTTTCTTCCTGCTCATCAGTATTGGGATTACTACTGAGTTTTTTTGGTGCAAAATGAAGCACAGAGAGTTGCCCTCTTGCAGCGGATTCTTATTGCAGACCTACAGTATGCAAGACATCATGGATTATCTGGAAGTAATTGGGACATGGCACCCGCCCTTGTGCTTACAATTTGGGACTGCCACCTTATAGACAGATGCTCAGTAAATAATTTTTGAATAAAAGCATCATGAGCATAGACGGGAGGAGAAAAAGGAGTATAAGATTTAGCAATAATGCAACACTGGATAAGTCAAATACATCTCATTACATTGGGAATTTTTAGAGAACAGAGGAGTTACTTTTATATGCTAGGATAAGGGAGTAATCTGTTAGACAGGGTTTCTCAACCTCAGCACTGTTGACATTTTGGGTCAGATAATATGTTGTTGTGGGGGACTACCCTGGGCATTGGAGGAACTGTGCATCCTTAGACTAACTCCTGTTGTCTCCAAACATTGCCAAATGTCCCCTAGAGGCAAGATTGCCCACAGATGAAAACCAGTGCTGTTGAGGATGTCTTTTGAGGGACTGGGGAAGAGGGTAGCATGGTACAAGGAACAGAATGGTGGAAAGCCTAAATTCAACTCAGTTATCAGAAAAAAATTAATTTAATGTAACGTAATGGGAGTGGGGAGTAAAATGGACTGCTATGAAATGATATTGGATATGGCTGTATTGTACGCACACTTAAAGAGTTGGGAGTTTTATTTGGAAAGCAGTAGGAACGTATTAAGTTGTTGAGCAAAAGAATGACAAGATCAGAACCTTGGTTTTTAGGAAAATGAATCTGGCGGTTACATATGTATAACCTGAATTAGAAAGTAGATAGGATGCCAGGAGAAGTCGGGGATCATAAAAGTAGTCCAGGGGGTGAAGTAATGCTGGACAACAGTAGTGGTAATAGAATCAATGAGGATAAGAGTATTTAGCAATAAACTGCATGTGAGGAAAAGGAATCAAAGACAAATTTTCTTTTTAGAGGACTACATTTTAAATTTGAGAGAATAGTAGTGCCATTAAAGAAATGGAAATTACACATTGAGAAATGGGTTAGAGGAATATGACAAGTTAAATTTTAAACACAGTGATTGTCTGTTTATGCATCTTCGAAATTGCTCTTCCAGCTGAATGAATTTTGATTAACTGCTGTTGTTAGGCCACTTTGAAATTAAACTCTATTGTTTTTTTCTGAACAATACATCAGATTTGTAGACAAATACTTTAGTTATAATTGCCTTTTAGAATCGAGCCTTTAGAGAGCCTTTAGAATAGGCTTTGTAGCATATTGTTAGGTCCTGGGGAAACAAGAATTAAGAAAACATTTTGTTCATTAATGAGACAATGTGAGAAGTCTGGCAACATGCTTATTCTATTCCCTCACTCTTTCCCGTTTCCTTATTAAACACAATCTTGAGATAGGAGTGAACCAATAAGGTTATTACCTTGCTATAAATGTTGTCATCCTGGTATAGTATTGTGCATACCAATGAAGAGCAGTTAATTTTGCCTAGCGGCTACGGTGCCCCTTAAGTTGGACTTTGAAGTCTGTCTGTTGAGCTAAGCCAAGAGTCTGTTCTAGGTAGGGAGGGCAGCACAAGCAAGGGCAGACAGGAGCAACAATGCATGGCTTATAATGAAGATAACTGAATAGATGCACTGTTTGTGCAGACAGCTGCAAATCCCAAGGCTCTTACAATGTTAGACTTGGGGTTCCAGTAGCTTTGTGCCAAGACTGTGTTGCTCTACCCTTACCTTTCCCTAGGTACCAAAAATTATATTCATTAATCTAGGAGTAACTGATACAGATTTGTGAGTGAAGTGGAAGCTAATGTCAGTTCACAGACCAGAATCTGACAATCACCCAATTACCCTGGTATGTGTTCATAATACACCTACTGATACGTATCTTACATTGTTAGAACTACCTAGGTATTCTGATGATTTCTAACCAGCTGTGATGTTCTAATGGACAGGAAGTTTAAAAATTGATCAAAAGCTCTTTTCCACCTCACACCTTTTCCCATGGGGCCAGGAGTAAGGGAGTGGAGAGGGGTGGGGGTGGGGTGGGTAATAACTTTTAATAGCTTCCTCTTGTTTACAGAATGAAATCCAACATTCAAGATCCCTCATAATCTCAATCCAGCTCCTCTAATATTACCTATGAGAAGAGTTCAAGATAAATTACGTAATAGTATGTTGTAATATTTAGTAATGTGTAGATGTCCCTTTCATTCAAAAAGGAAGCAAAAGAAACAAACTGGCAGATGCAGGCTTGCATGGGAGGAACAGAATATGGCCTAATGAGGTCTTTCTCTCTTGAGCTGGATGGGTCACTGGAAGCCATTTCATCAAACGTTCTTGTGAAGGTAGAGGGGCTTTCATAAGCAGAGAGTGATTTTTCTCAAAATTCTCTGATGTATTTGATAACCTCTGGCCAGCTTTAAAATTCTAAGAATAAATTAGCAAGATAAAATTACTCTGAAAGTTAGCACAAGCTAGGGCCCTGAAGGAAATTTGGCTAATACAAGTTGACTTACGGGAAAAAACACATTACTCCACAACAGTATAAATTTATGTAGTATATATGCTTACAAGGATTCAGATTACTGTAGATACCAACAAATAGAGAAAGGCATGGAATTGGAGGAGTGAACCATTTCATACTTTTTTAACACTTCAGTCATAGAACCTTAATTAAATCATTTTATTTCTCTGGAAATCCTGCCTCGTTGTAACTACTATAAATTCGATGTTTATTCATTATCTACCAGGTAGAGCTCTTCTCATAATTGTAGTCTTTAGTATCTCTCATGTTTTCAAAAACTTGAGTCATTGAGAGCAGCATTTCCAGCTTTTCTCTCACTACTTTATGGGATAAGGGACTTTTCCTGCATTTTCTTCCTTCCCTTCCCTAGTTAAACAAGGTGACTTTACTACTCTTTCTTGCAGTGAAGGATCACACACATCGGTGGAGAACAATGGCGGGGGGGGGAGGGGGGTCCTCCTGTTTCTTTATATCAAGTACAGTAAGGACTTCAGTACTCACTCTGGCCCTCCATCCGCACCACAGTCTTTTACTGCTGTGCAGTCTCAGGCGGGCTTTCTCACGCTTCCTTCCCTTATAGGACTCAATTCTCTGGAGTTCGTCTTCTCACAAAAGAGCTGATATTAACTAGGAATTCCTGTTCAAATTCATGGTATGCTTTCTGTCTCTTAACCAGACTTTGATTAATATAACATTTATTATCATGTTACTATTATTTTATGTTTGAAGTTTTTCATAAGTTAAACCAAATTTGTGATCATTTGTTAAACATTTTACATAAAATACTGTTTTTGTTTGTGTACTTCTCATAGGAAGAGTCCAAAATATATAACCAGAGTAATGATTGTACTGTTGTATATTTTTTACTAATATACTGAGAGAAGATTTATATAAATTATGCCTTAAAAGTACATACATTACTTCCAACTGAGTTAACTCCTGTTTTTTAAGAGATTACTATTCTTTACACACAGTATGATTTGCTATACAAGTCTTTAATAATCAATTTAAACTTTTTTGGAAATAATTTCTACTAATGATTCATAGTCAGCATAGTCCTTCAAGGACTGTACAAGTTCATCCAGTAAATACTCCCCTTGCATAAAAGTTTCAAGATCATGAAGTGACTTGTTTATTCTGTGATCTGTGACCCGATTCTGTGGAAAATTGTATGTTCTTATTTTCTCTGACCTTCCTTTAGTTCCAACCTATATAAAAAGATATGAGATACAGTTAGATTCAGAGCAACTAAACCTACAAATTTAACTTATCTGGAGATTAAGCTCTTGATTTATAATTTGACACACAATGTAAGAACCAAGTTTTAAACATTTTGAATCATCAAATAACATGGAAGCATTAATAAATAAAGAATACTGGCTTTAAAGGCCAACAGAGTTGTAGCATTTGATCTTTTTGCCATTTCAGTGCTCTATGGCTTCATGCATTTATTTCAACTTTAAACTTTAGTTTCCTATCTATAAAATACAGACAAATAATACCTACTACGCCGTGATGATGTACACATTTAGCCTAGCATAGGGATGGTATTCAAATGGTAGCTAAATACATACATTTATATTTGTCACTGGAAGTATTGACAGCAATGAATTCCCGTAAAAAGGAACTAATAAAGGGTGCTGTAGTTACAAAATTAAATACCAAACACGAAGAAAGTAAGTTGTTTGCTTTCCAACTTTCTTCCATAATTTTCAAAGGATTAAAAAATGAGGATTCTATATATCCCTTTTTAGTAACTTTCATTAAAAGTCTGAGAAAAACAAGCCGCTGAATATAGAAACCAGGGCAGAAATTTAAGATTACTATAAAACAAATATAACCTTCGGTTCAGCTACTTGAATTGTTTCCTTATTTTAACAAATACATTGGAACAATTTTAACATATATAAGAACTGGGTTATCTAAAAATATTTTATACTTTAGAGCATTTTTTATATTCACTTTACCTGAATCTTTCTAGCACTGTATCTTTTACTTGTTTCTTCTTCTAGATACATGCTATACAGTTTTGCACGTAGCTTTTTCATAGCCATCTCTCTATTTTTCAGTTGAGATCTCTCTTGTTGGCATTCAGAAACAACACCTGAATAGTGTTATGAGAATTAAAGAGTTTTAATAGGAAAATCTTCTTCATTTATTATCAAGGAATATTCTTTTTCCTTCTTTTTCTTCTTCCTTTATGAGGAGAAAAAATAGAACTCTAATAAAAAAGGGAAAACTATAAACAAATAATTTTTATAGAGTTCTGAGAAAAATGAACATTTAGGCTTGATATGCTATAGTGCAAAATATGTTCATACTGAAGGCAGACATACTGAACAATATGCATTTAATCATTCAATTTGGGTTGTTTTCCCATACCCTTAGCTGGCCACCATAATTTTTTTAAAGCAGTAATTACTCATCACAGAAACAAAAATTTTAAAAGTTAATCCTACTACCAGAGATAGTCACTATCCATATTTTTATGAGGACTTTCATCCATTTTTTTTCCTATTCCTGTTTATATACTATGTATTACATAGACATCATCTTAGAGTTTAACTTGAGGCTTTCCTAATATTTAAGAAAAAAAAAAAAAAAGGAAAACCAAAAACTCCTACCATCCATATGCCGATCCATGCATATTTGAGATTGGTCATAGTAAGAGATTTTTATAATCTTTCTAGATAACTGAGGTTTGCTATCTATATGCTCTTTATCACATGTAAATCGCTGCAGTAATGACTGTAAAGTATGTTTAGTTCTACCTGATAGTATATTGAAGACATAAAAAATATCTAGATGTAGCTCCACTGCCTATCTATAATCAGAACTGCTGGACATTTATGGGTGGACTTAATGAAGCAGCAGCCCTGGAAGTTAAGTGCAGCACTTCACCTGTGAGCGTGTTTCTGGGTAGCAAGTCCAAGCTTTCATTTTCTTGAGAAACTGAAGAGTCCATGTCCCCCTCCCTTCAAAGAAGGCTAAAAACTAGTGATTTAGAGCATTTTCTGACAAAGAACCCATGATAATGACTTCATTCTGAGGATTTTGGATTTTCTTATTATTTTCTTTTTTAATTTTGAGTTGGCTCCATACCAACATGGGGCTTGAACTCAGAACCCTGAGATCAAGAGTCACATGCTCTACTGACTGAGCCAGCCTGGCACCCCGGATTTTCTTTTAATAGTGATATTTACTAAATATAAACTTTAGGAAGCTACCTGGAAGGACTATCTTTTCTTCATGGTCACCAATATGGTAATTCTCTGGGCTTAGATCCCTCCATCTTCCTGGCTTTGCAATTATCCCGCAGAGTTTCATCTAAGGATTCTAAATAAAGTATTTAATAATAATCCTTAGGAGTGTATATCTGGTAGTTGAAGATCTATTACAGTGGAAAATTAGTCAAGTTATTCAGAATTTGATTTCTTTCTTCAAAGTTTTATGTTGAAGGGCTAAGTGCGTACCTGTTGGAAGATGAACTATCCGGACAGCACTGTCCGTGGTATTTACATGCTGTCCTCCAGCTCCACTGGCTCGCTTAGTATCAATTCTTAAATCTTTTGGGTTAATCACCAGATTAATCTATACACAAGAGGAAATACTGGGATTGAAAAATATCACATGTATATGAGCTATTCAAAGGAAAGAACTATCCATTTATACATATATAGAATTAATATAAGATTAAAAAGGTTTAATTTTAAGAATATAAAGTAGATGGAAGGGTACCATTTTTAAAAGTCTCATTTTTGGAAGAGTAGTGGATCAAAATATAATAAAAAATGGAAACCCTCCAAATCCTCAAAAACTAGACTTCTCTGTAAATTAACCTCCTTACCTCACAACAGAAGAACTTTGTTAATATCAGAAATGTGAATATAGGAACTTACGTAGGCTTTTGTGGATTATTTCTGAGTTTAAAAAGGCTTTAACACAGGAAAAAAAAAAAAACAATGCTATCTTAGGAACTAAGGGTAGGCTTATTTTGTTTCATTTTAAATAAAGGAGGAGTTAAATATATCTGAAGACAGAGGAGAGGCACATGGAAATGGCACAGAGCAAAGCCAAGAAGTCATACATACACTAGGATGTGATACCAGTGTAATGCTCGTCCCATCTGAGTCACCATCTGAAGCACTAGATTTAAAAAGCTGTTTCATGAACAGCTGTGGACCACTCTGTGACACATCTACAACCCTGGAAGCAGGACTTCTACCATTCACAGGCCCTACATGTAGCCTGTCTCCATGTGGCTCCATCATACAGTTGCTAGAAGCATTAGGTACAGACTTCACCCCATCTTTTTCTGTAAACTACTTCTGTCTCCAAGATGCTTAAACAAAAGTGACTGGTATCTAGTGTGGCTCCTGCCATTTATTCTACTTCACATTCTTCCTTAACTGTTCTGTTCTTCCTCTAGGGTTCACACAAAAATTAGATCTAAAAAATGGAACTTAGAGTCAAATAGAACCTTTCTCCAAAATTAATAGAAACCCTCAATTAAACTTCCTTCTTCACCAATCATTCATGTTTCATCCTGAAAAACAAGTCCTATATTTCCTGTCACCTTCAGCAGAAGGAATGAAAGCAAACAATTCTTTTTTTTTTTTTTTTTACAAACATTATATAGACTAAGAATTTGGTTATGAGAATGAAGTGTACTCATTATGAACATTGTAACAATATATTCCCATTTTAATGTTAAGTAGTTACTTTGTTAAAACAGCATTCTTGATATTAAACACTCTTGGAAAGTCAAGACAAAGCAAAAATCATTGTAAAAAGTAATTAGTATTAAACTCTATTTAAAGTAGGTAGATTCTCCTATAGAGATGATCGCAGAATAACTACTTTAAGTTTAGTGTGGAGAAAAACTAATAAATAATGCAACATTAGGTCCTTTTTTACATTACGTTACATTACATTAGGTCCTTTGTTACATCTATTGTGAAATCATACTTTTTGGATGAAGGTAACAGATTCTTCACAAAACCTAAAATATGTGATGAAGGCCAAATGATAAGAAAAGGACTTCAATATTGAATATCAGTTCAATAAAGTGATCAGGGAGCAAGGCACTGTGCTGGGCGCAGGATTCCAAGGAGAGGAGACTGATGCCTTACCTCAGTCGGTTGGGGTAAGATTGCTACAGTCATGGTGCTAGTATGGATGCGGCCTTGCTTCTCTGTCTTTGGCACTCTTTGTACTCTGTGCACACCTCCTTCAAATTTCATGTGTTTATAGGCTTCTAAACCCCCAATGCTAGCAGATGCATGTCTAAGGCCACCTTGAAAATATTAGAAGAACAGAAGTATTATTCTCGCGATAAACAATTGACCATCACTTCTACCACCCTGAAATATATTTAAAAGAACTACAAAACAATATAAGCATACAGAATGTAAAAGGTATTGAAAACTTTAGCAAGTCCATGATATTCAGTGTTTTAATACTTAATACCTTTATTACTAATAATCACTACACAAAGTATTTATGGTATTAATCAACTGCTTCAATAACATGTCTAAAAGACCACTTTTAAAAACCATTAATCATTCAGTGGTGAGTAGTGAATGACTAACATTTTATAGGTCACTTCAAAATTTGTATGTTTGCATTCAAAATTACTGAGTAAATGATGAGCATAAGATCAGGTAAGCTTCCTTACCAATAAATTCTAGAGTTTAGTCATGGTCTTTCCACCCTTATGCTAGGACACATATGGATAAATTAAATCTGTACTTTTCCCAAAACAAATTAAACAGTTTACCTATTTCACTTGGAAAATATTCCAGGGTTTCAAAATGCCATCTTTTAAAAGCAGCATATTGCTGATACATATCAAACATCTCTGAAGTAAACAACATTGCCTCCTGACCCCCAACTCCTGCAGTTACCTCCAGGATCAAATCATTCTTATCTGTTTCTTCTGAGGGAACCAAAAGTAAGATAATCTGTAAATACAAAAATATCACCCCTCCTAGAATTAGGAATTATTTAAAACTTAACAAAAAATAACTAAATGATTAGATGCAGGATTTTTAAAAATATTTTATTTATTTATTCATGAGAGACACAGAGAGAGGCAGAGACACACGCAGAGGGAGAAGCAGAGTCCATGCAGGGAGCCTGACGTGGAACTCGATTCCGGGACTCCAGGATCATACCCTGGGCTGAAGGCAGGCGGTCAACCGCTGAGCCACCCAGAGACCCCCTAGATGCAGAATTTTATTTTATTTTATTTTATTTTGTTCGATGCAGGATTTTAAATATTTAATTTACCTGAAGTTTCCCTAAACAAACAATATTTCCAATTGCTCTTCAACTGTCTTGCTAATGAGAACCATATAGTAATGCACAACTTCTATAAAATATTAGTGTTTCAATTATAAATGCTATAAAGTCCAGCTGAAACTTACAGTATGGATTTGTTTCTTTTGGTGTTCATGTAAACTTTTTTTTTTTTTTTTAAGATTTTATTTATTTATTCATGAGAGACACACAGAGAGAGGCAGAGACACAGAGGGAGAAGCAGGCTCCATGCAGGAAGCCCGATGTGGGACTCGATCCTGGGTCTCCAGGATCACACCCTGGGCTGAAGGTACACGCTTAACCGCTGAGCCACCCAGGCGTCCCTCATGTAAACTTTATTTATTTAATTAATAATTAAGAGCTTGTTGTGAGTAGGACACTATATTGTGTGTAGAATGAAAGAGAAGATTCTTAACTCTATCCTTTTGAAATCTATAGCCTAGTATGGCAGTAAAGAAAAGAAAAAAAAAAAACTCAAATTGTATCTTTTTAAGTTTCTTTAATTTGGAAGATAAATTTATAATCCTGGAACTGAAAAGGCCCTAAGAAATGATAGATGATCTGGCCCTCTTCCCTCATTTTACATGTCAAGGAAAATGAGGCAGAGACTAAATGACTTGCTAAAGGGAAAAGTGTTTGTTGGCAGAGAGGCATAAAAACTCAAATCCTGCTGCCTAGATCAGTCCTCCTTCCCTTCAGTGTGTACTAATTAAGGGACACGGAATAAAAGCTTCTTAGATTAGGTGAATTAAATAAGAAAAGTTACCAATATTTATTGGTCCCTTAAATTATGACAGGCACTACGCTAAGCACTTTATATACTTTAATTCTTAAGTCAGTCTTGGGAAGTAGTATTAATGGATCTACTTAAGATGTGAAAACTCAGTTTAAGCTTAGTTTAATTATTTGATCTAGCTGCCCCAAAACATACAACTAGAAAGTGTAAGAACTAGAACTTGAACCCAGGTCTGCCTGAATTTTGAAATATCATACTTCATGTTGGTTGGGATTTATGGTTGATACTACCTTTCTATATTTCTGGCTATAACATGATCATTCAAATCTTGAGTAAATGATTGAATTTACGTGTTTGTTAATTAACACTATTCAATGAACAGAAACCTTTAATACATATGTGCTTCTATTTCACAAAAAAATTAGAAAATGGGTAGAAGTTAAATTACATGAGACTTTTCACTTCATAGTAGAACCTTCCCTCTGGAATGGTTGGTAAGGATATTAACTTTTGATGAGTCCATATCTGACTAGATAAAAGACAGAATCTTTAAGCACCCCCTTTTCTGGCCCCTTACCTACCATGTCCTTTTATTTATATCCTCAGAGATAACTATTATAAATCTTTAAGCTCTGGTTTCCAGAATAACAAAGAGTGGTTCTAATTTAATATAATGATTACTTTTCATCTAATGCCTATATATTCTCCTAGATGTAAAACCAAAGCCTTATAATTCAGTTCTAAAAGCCCAAAGGCCTACTCTAGGTCTTGACCTCTAATAGTGTCAGGGATAAAAGGTACAGAAATACTTCTGCTGCCAAGGAGCTTACGATCTACTACTTCTCCAAAACCTCTTCTACCCATCATCTACCCCACTCTCACCTCTCTTAAAATACCTAAAGAGGGGGAAAACAATACTGATATTTATTTCACTACTTCTCCGAAAAATCTTATCAATGTAACAGTCACTTTCCACCCCCCCACAGCTCTCCAATCCTTTTAGTATGAAAAAAAGGGTCACATGGAGTATGCTTTATCCTGCTTTAAAAAACCCTATAATTCTAAATACTAACAAGCTACTTAGTTCTTGAGTTGTTTTTATAAACTCCTAATAAAATTCATTAAAAGTAATAGCACAAATGCTTTATTCTTTGTACAGATACCATACCTGGTGCTTCAACTGAGTTATTTCTTTTTGACATGAGGTTATTTCATTCTCTGCAAGTTTCCTTAAATCTTCATTTTCATCTGAGAATGTGAAAATAAAACAGTAGATTAGGTTTCCTTAATGTCAAATTGCCAACATAATTCAAGATCATTTTATTATTACTGTAGCTAAAGGGAAAAATAAAATGTCTTTCTTGTCCTTTTAATAGCTGCCATTAATTAAAAGTAGCATTTTATACATTAGTGTTTATTAGCATGTAACTTTAAACAAACCTTTTTCCTGATGACAGAAGTATAAAATAAAAAAGAATCTACAAGAAAAATAAAGAAGCTATTAAACTATTCTATAACTCTACCTCCATGAAATATTCATATTAACAAACATGCTTTTAGTTTTCCAACTTAGACTATATAAAAACAAATACATCCAGTAGTTAGAACAGAAGAGGAACAGAAGGCTCCATCAGTTAAACTACAATTGAATTAAAAAACTGAAAGTTACTTATTATCTCTTTAACAAACACATTATATTTCATTAATATAAAATAAATATCCACCCAAACATTTAGATCCTCCTAATATTCACAGAACGTCTGCATGAAGTACTCCCCCCACAACTCGCTTTACTCGCTTATTTCATCTTTTGAGTTTTCATTTTTACCCTATAAAATATGCCGTCTCATCCCTTTACCCTATGGACAACAGGCAACCTACAAAAAGGAGAGAAGGGAAATTTTTTTAGCTCTTACAAATAGCTCTCTTTGTTGAGACTGGACCTTTACAAAGTATCAGTTTATATGTTTGTTCATTTATGAGGAACCAACTATGCTGGGAACTAATATGTAAGACCTGCCCTCAAGGCAGAGTTTTAGATAATTTTAGTTTCTTTTTATTTTTCTTAGGGAGAAAAACAAAGAATAACAACCTAAAACACTAGGTGGTTAAATATTAAAATGATAGCACACTAAAGATTGTTTTTTGTTTATTTTGGGGAAGGGCGGAAAAAGGAGAGGTAAGGACAACACAAACCATGAGATAAGCAATGATGGGAAGTGTTGGTGGAAAGGCAGGAAATTATTCTGGCACAAATTTGGCATGGAAGAAATTTGCTGAAATGGCAAATGTGTTGAAGTAGAAAAAGGAAAAATGAATTCTAGTCGTAGTTCAACCACTAAAGGTTCTCTTAGGGCAACATATCCAACCTCTCTGAATCTCCATTATCTTGAGAAAAATGAAGGACTGGGCTGGATAACCTCTAAGGTGCCTTTCAATTCTGAAATGCAATTCTTCTGTAAGGCTAAGGAGACTGGAACTAAAGTCACAGTAATTTAATTTTAATACTACATTTCATTTAACCCAGTATAACCAAAATATTATCATTTCAACATGTACTTTAAAAATATTAAAAATTATTTTGTATATTAGGTCTTTGAAATCTGTTTTTACCCTTACAGCACATCTCAACTCAAACTAGCTATGTTACAGGTGCTCATTAGCCATTTGTGGCTAATGGCTTTAGAGTTTGGACTGAGGAGTTACTCCTAGGCCATGGAACTACACTAGTTTTTTCATTCAATATTATTAATCAACATGTTGACAGGCCACTATCACATGCCTGCCTTCTCCTCTGCCTACCAGTTTATTTATTTATGTTTTCCCCACTATAATTTGTTAATTCTCATTTACTTCTCCAGCTGTTATATCTGATTTCATAATAACACCATTTTTATTAAAATCACCCATGACAAAATTGCCAAATCTACAGGCTTACTTCAGCCTGAGTTGAAAAGATGAGCCCTTTCTAAGGTATCAACAATTCCCTACTTGAAATTTTAATTGGTCTTTACTGCTTCATTTCTCTTGTTCAAGTTCCCAAAGTTCTGCCTGTTTTTCTTGATCTTTTATAGCTTCCTCCTCTGCCTGTTCCTCAAATACTATGTATTTCTGCTTTTGTTAGTGTCCTATTTCTGTCTCTACAAATTCTTCCTGAACATTCTCATCTGCTCCCAAGCTTTACTTTGTCAAGTATATGCTGATTATTCAGGCTTAGTTTTAACCCTTAAATCCACTTGATTTTAAGCTTGGTCTAAGCTATGAAACCAATTTAGTTTTTCCCCAAAAGTATTTTTCCCAATATGCGTAATTAATTCCCCCCCCCCCCCCCGCGCCCTTTCTGGGCATCCACCTTTTCTCTTAAATAACTTCATTTAGAGGCTCTTTGACTCTCACCTAAACTACCGCATTGATGTTGTTTTCCATGGCATCTGCAATCTCGTTACAGGTTGACTTTGAAACTACCACAAATCAAGCTTTCCTAGCAAGAAAGCCATTTCTATCATTCACTCCCCCATCCAAAAGCTTCCACTGGCTCTCTTCTGCCAACAAGATAAAATCAACTTTTTAATTTTTTTTAAAGATTATTTATTTATTTATTCATGAGAGACACAGAGAGAGAGGCAGAGACACAGGTAGAGGGAGAAGCAGGCTCCACGCAGGGAGCCCGACGTGGGACTCGATCCCGGGCTCCAGGATCACACCCTGGGCTGAAGGCAGCGCTAAACCGCTGAGCCACCAGGGCGTCCCATGATCAACTTTCTAAAATTAGTATTCACATCTCTCCCCCTACTCTCCTTAGAAAATGTTTCAACCTGCCACTCCTGATAACCTCTCCTCTTCCTGGGTTAACAAAGAGTACAGTGATTAAAGATTTGGAGTCAGCCCAGTCTAAACTCCATTCCTTGAAAGCTGTCTGGCCTGAGTAGTTATTTTACCTCTATTTCTCATGTTCCTCTCCTGGCCCATAAGGCTAATAGTACCTACTTAATAGTTTGATGTGTGAACTGGATGAGTGAATACGTGAAAACAGTTACGCAAAGGCCAGAGTGTGGTAAAAGATCAACAGCGGTTAAATAAACTATTAATATCCTGTAGGGTGGCCCTTTATCCCTGCACGAGGCCTTCCCAACAAGTTCTCCTTGCTTCCCCCAGGTGTCTATTCGGATATCTAGTCTCATTTTGAGGCTCTAGTACTAATTTTCTCTCCCCGAAGAGACTGTGGCCCTCTCTAGAGCCATACTAGCCAAAGCGCGGTCCAGGGGAGTTTGCAGAAATGCAGAAACTTAGGACCCATTAGCAGTCGAATGCACACCGATCACTTTAGGAAACCCGTTAAAAGCGCATCTTTTTAGGTCTCCGACTGTGAGTCCAAAGTCTGGTTTTAGCGTGCACCTCTCTTGAATATCGCAGATGGCCCCTTTACCACAACTCTAACAAACACTGCTCTCAAGCCCTTATTTGGGGACAGTCCCTCGTTTGTCCTTGGTGAGCTGGAGATCTGCCGACCTTAGCCTATCAATACACTGAAATCCTGTACAAGGGGGCGGAACATTGTGACCAGTGAGCACAGGGCTCACACAGGCGACGATGAGGTGAGAACGCACAGTGACGCCTCCACCTCCGATCTAAACCAAAAAAAAAAAAAAAGAAAAGAAAAAATTCCAAATGAGTAAAGAACTAACTCGGGAGGTGTGAACACCTGCCCAGCGGCTTAGCGGGAAAGACCAACGAAGAGCCCAGAATCTGCCCGTCCCCCTGGGCCCGGCTCTCACCGCGTAGCAACTGCTCGGTGTCCTGTAGCTCCCGCTCCTTCTCGCTCAGCAGTTGGGCCGCCGCCAGCAGCTCAGCCCCCCTGACCTGCAGCCGGGCTTCGGAGCCTGCCTGGCGCTCCAGGAAGGTCCGCAAGGGCCCGCCTCGGGCGAACAGCTCCTCCAGCGGCAGGCTCCCGCAGGTTAGGTGCCGGCGGGCCGGGCGGACCAGCCGGCGGGCCCACAGATGACGAACAGCACTCCATAGAAACCGGGACCGCATCGCTGAGGGGGCAGCCTGGGACGTCTACCAGAGCCGGAAGTGTCGGACAGCGAGTCTCGCGACACCGCGCGGAGTTTGGAAGCCGGCGAGAACTGGGCGGGCCCCGCCCCCGCCCAGCGCGCGCGCCAGCTTTAAAGGGCCTCCCGAAAGCTTGGGTGGGAACTTCCCGGCCGGCATTTAAACCCCGCGGGATTCGCAGAGGCCGGAAGGGGGCGGGGCGGGAAGTGGTGGGAGTGGGTCCGGGGACCGTCGGCATCTTTAGAAGCCGGGTCGGAAACGCCTGTCTGAGTCTGGTCGGGCGGTGTGCTGTTCTGGAAGGCGGATGCTGCAGCCTGCCACGCGGTTTTCCGACGTCGAGGATGTAGTTCCCGAGCCCTGGGTGAGGACTCGAGCCCCGCAGGGGGGGGAGGGGAGCTGAGGACACAGCCCCGGAAGTCCTGCAGCGCCAGCCGGGCTTTTCGTCTCCGAGAGTGAGCTGTAGGCTGGGCCTCGCCGCGTGTACGTGTGGCTACGGCTCTTCCTTTTCCTCTGCTCGTGCCTCTTTTCGACGGTGGGTAAGGCTCGTGTTAATGAGGGCGGGGCTAGCGGACTCGAAGGCAGCCAGGAGAGGGGTTTCCCCAGATCTGCTTTCCTGCCCCCTTAGGTGCCACGTCATTTACTCGCTGTCAAACTTCCTTCCTTCCTCAGCGAGTCGGCTGCCCATCCATCCTCCTCCTAGTTGCCGTTAGCTACCTTGGAAAGGGATTGAGCGATTCCACGTTGCGGTAAACCACAGCGCAGCAAAGCCTCAGAGCCCCGCCTTCGGTAGCCCAACCTCCTCCATCTCTCTCCAAAAACCTTGAGATAGCGGATTGGTGCCTGGGATACTGTGGCTTGTTTGTATAATGCTTTGCACCTTTCAAAAGAGCTTTTCAGAGCCACCCGAGGGATGGATATGAAGGAATAAATAAAACCAAGACAGTCCTGGGGATGCAAAGGCTGACTCAGCCTGGGAACTCCCACTACCTAACTGGTTTGCGCAGGGTGTTCTAAATGTTTTCACTGTTGAGAGAGCTGAAATACTGTAAACTCGTGTTTTTTTGTTTTTGTTTTTTTTTTTTTAACCAAATGGTATATACGGGAGCCTTTGACAAGGTTAGGTCATCCCTAAGTCGTCTAATCAAAACTATTAAGGTGAAGTAAAATTCTTGTAAAGTGAGCTTGCATCGTCTCTATTCATTCCTTAGGTCTACATAAAAATGCAAAGTGGAGGAAGGAATGAGATGACTCCAAATTGTATAGAGCAGAAAACAGGTATTGCTACTTAAACGCTCCAAGTAATTACCTCAATTATTCGTTTCACTTTGTGTATTCAAGCCACATTACTTGATAAAATTGTTTAAGATAGTGGTTGAAACCCATTTTATTTTAATTCTGATCCGAGTATAGAACAGGACTGAGCAGGCCATTTTTTGACTTTATTAGAATCAGTTATTTCCCAAATCTAAACTCCACTTTGAATTTTTTTAATTTATTTTTTTATTTTTTTTAAACTAAATTTTTTTAAAAAGATTTTATTTATTTATTCATAGAGACACACAGAGAGAGAGGCAGAGATACAGATAGAGGGAGAAGCAGGCTCCACACAGAGAGCCTGACCTGGGACTCCATCCAGGGTCTCCAGGGTCACACCCTGGGCTGAAGGCGGTGCTAAGCCACTGCGCCACAGGGAAATTTTTTTTAAAACCATAGAAATGGCGGGAGTCTTTTGAACTCAACACGATTAATCTCTCTCAGCTGAGTTCTCATAACAAGTTATTTCAAGAATATACTTTATTATTTATAAAGGTGAAAAAGTGTGAGAAGCGATAACTTTATGGAACACTGTAAAGAATCCGACCAGAAATTATATTCCCTAAGATGCATAAGCAATTTAAGTAATATAAGTAAGTGTACTTTTTACTCTTGACTGTTACACCAATGAGGAAACAGTAATTTGCTCTACAGATACAATGGTGAATTCTTTATTAATTCAAAACATTTTAAAAAAGTGTAACGCATGTGCATCTTACAATAATATCCAAAGGTTTCCACAGTATAGTCAAATGAAAACAACTGTAGTTTGATTTACTTTGAAAACTCAAAAAAAAAATAGTTTGAGACTTCTGAATTTCCTTACATTACTGTCATGCTCAAATTTGAGTATTACATATCGAAGATTCTAGCATTTTCAGAAAGTCTATTATTTGTACAGAGGTAAAAAGATAACATAGATTCAAGGCGGGGAAATAAAAACCCAAAACAACTTAAATTGGAGGAAATATAATCTAGATTATCTATTCAATTTATAAGTACCTACAGTATTCTGACAGTGCCAAATAACCAAGCATGTGTCTCAAGTTGCATTCATGCATTCAAAACTCCTTTATGGTCCACTAATATTAGCAGACTACAAAATATGGATATATAGATTAAGTACAATGAACATGGTAGTAAAAAATTGCACACATTCGATATGATAAATCTTACAAAACTAAACACATTGAAATTATTTTTTATATTTAGCAAACACCCTAAAATCATATACAAGAAGTTGTATATTATGACAAATAGGTTAGAGCAAGGGAGAAAAAAATCAAGTCTTTTACATTATTTCAATAATCAGTGTTCATTGTTCTGTTGAGGACAATATGGAAAAGCACTCAGCAAAAAATAATAGATTTAAATTACCTCTTCTGACAATTAAAATAAAATCTTTACTATCCAAGGGATGTAGAGGATAAAGTAAAGATAGTTCAAGGCAAAAAATTCACTTTCACCTCCATTAAGTGAATATTTAAGCTATAGTTTTGGAGTTTTATTTTCCCATTTCAATTTCTAGTTTATTGTATTTTCTTCATGGTATATGTTAGCAGTCATTTAATGGAACCTAATAGCAGTGCTGAGGATTCTGCTTAGAATTTTTTTAGCTCAGTGTTAATGTCCAGTATCTTTACCTCTAATTTGATCTCTTAATAATGTATTGCTTTACAGTGGTGAAACCTAATAAACACTACCTCAACCAGATGGTCAAGGTTAATATTAACAGTGGTAAGTCATGATGATGGTATGTACCTTTGATATAAATAGCACTTTACTTCTGTGGTCTTCCAGAAACTGGTAACACCTGTCTAATCATGGGAAAAACATCAAATTCCAATTAAGGGACATTTTACAAAGTACTGGACCAGTATTCTTCAATACTGTCAGGGTCATCAAAAGCAAAAAAAAAATTTGAGAAACTGTTGCAGCTAAGAGGAACTTAAGACAGGATGACTAAATGTTGTATGTATCTTGAATGAAATCCTTGAACAGAAAAAAGACATTAAAAGCTGAGGAAATCTGAATAAAGTGTGGACTTAATGCATCAATATTGGTTCATTAGTTGTGACAAGTGTCACAATGGGTGTGCAGTATATGGAACCTCTCTGTATTATCTTTGCAACTTTTCTGTGAATCTAAAACTATTCTAAAATAAAAGGTTTAATGAAAAATTTTATGAACACACAACCACTTTTTTCTTTTAATTTCATATTTTCATGGTAAAATTGTTTTAAAAATCATACCAGAATGCTTTCTATTCCATGCCAATATCAATGTTTTCTAATAGTCTCTCATAACTTAGTTTTAGCTTTACTTCCACATATTTATTTGCCAAATTACTTGATGTTTATATTCTTCCTATCCTTGGGAATGTTTTTTATTTCCTTTGGAAATAAAATTTTCAAATGATTTATTTTTTATCTTACTTATTTAAGCATTTATTTTAAGCCTACAATATTATATACACATTTGCATACACACATCTATATATTTATATCCGTGTATGTGTGTCATTGAAAAAAACCTACTTCTTGGTTGTAGGTCCAGTGTGATGTTCATGAACTGCAGACTGAATTTGAATCATATTAATGAACAAAGCAGTAACAGATTCATATGGTCCTCCATCTTGAAATAAGCATGGTTGTATTTGTTTGAATAATTAAATCATATTTTTAAAGTATACCTCCAAAAGAAGAGAAAAGTGCATTAAAGTGGCATTTAATTCATACATTTTTTGAAGTGAGAATAATTATTGAACTGGAGAATTTTGATAATAATAAATATATGTCACACTTCATGCTTTCCATGTTGACCTCTTTTAATTCTCATGGCCACCTTGTAAATGGAGTATCCCTACTTGAAGATGAGGAAACAAGCTCAGAGAGGTTCAATATAATGTTTGCCCAAAGTCACATGAGACAGAAAGGTAACCTGATTTCAAATTTATAAGTAAAGCCTGGTATTTGGGAACAACAATCTCAGTCTGCGCACTATCATGTGTTTCAAAGATACTATAAGAACGTTACAGGGAAGATCAGCAGCCAAGTTTTTGGTATCAGTTTTATTGATAAATATTTGCAGTAGTAACAAGTGAGGAATAACTAAAACTTTTACAGATTTAATACTGTTTTCTCAGGAGAACAAGCATTTTATATTGGTCAGAAATTTAAAAAGAACTGACGAGCATGCAAATATAAATGTTTGCATAATATATTTTGAAAATTAGGGTCATATGCTGTTAATATAAATACACAGGAAAGAGAATTTTCTGGAACTATCCTTACCACCTTTTGAAATAATTTGCCATTGTATCCAAAGTTTTTAAAATTCATGTTTGATAGGGTTCTATCTATAGGCATTTTAGGCCTAAGAAATTTTAGGTAGCTATTGAAAGAGTTCTTATTTTCCTGTTTTCTGATTGTATTTAACATTTCTTCCTTCTTTATTTATTCCTCAAAGCATCTGATAGATTGTATTTTTTGCAAATGTAACTTGTAACAAATTACAATATGACTTTTTTTTTCAATATGTTAAAAGTGTATAGAAAAAAATGGATATGTTCAAAACTAAGAATCCGGTGTTATTTTAAGTCAGCTTAATGGGGTGAAATTGTATTTTTGCCCCTAATATATAAACATTATTTACCTATTTCTATAGTCCTTTTGCAAAACTGAACTATTAGGTAAATATATGATATGCATTTCATTCTGTAAGTAAGAACTTAGGCAGCATTAAAGGACACTAGTAAACACCCCATGCACCATGACCAAATATCAGAGCTGGTCATCCTATGTACATATTTTAAGGTCTTAAAAAAAAAAAAAAAAGACCACATTACGGTCTTGATTTTTACACTCCATAACGTTGATATCAAAATTGTGTTTTGCTATTGTTGTTCATATGCCAGTGCACCCATTGTGCTTAGAGCTGCCCTATAACACTGTTGGAACATCAATATTACCATTGAGTAACATAGTAACAATTATTTAGCGTAAAGAAGAAGAAGTGTCATCCATCCATTATTAGTGTGATCTATGTACAAGATCCATCTCTGAAGAAATCTGGCTCTCCAATTTGTTATATATATTTATATATAATCTATACCCTCTACTTCTCTTTCAATGATAGACACTCTGAATTTAGGCACTATAGAAAGAGCATTAATCTTCTTTCTGTGTGCATTAGCTGATTCTAAGAGTACACAAAGATATCCTGACAATCTAAAACACAAAATGTACCCTTCTAAAGTGCTAATTTGTCCCCAGGGAGGAATATATTCACTAGGAAAAATCAAATTCTACCATAACAAATATTGTGCTCTTGGAATGGTAGCATAGACACCAGTTGAGGGCATTTTGTGTGTTTATTACAGCTCTGTAATTAAAACAGAAAGAGTTATACTATACTTTAAAAATTGGTAGAGTTGCAAATATACAGACATACTCTTAGATAGAAACTTTAAACAATTTAATTTTGAAATTAAATGAGAAACCTCCCCTCCCCCCCCAAATAGGAATTTAGCGCAGAAATGCTTCCATAACATGGTTACCAACATCCGATGTGTAAATCTGCTCTAGAATCATTCTCAGCCCAACTTCCAAACCAGGTTTCAAAAGGATATACTAACTTCAAAGTCTGTATTCTACAAATGCCCAGGTTAGAGATTAGGACTCTTTATAAGGGCCCTTATCTTTACATTTGGTAAAATATTAAAGGTATTGTCAAACAGACAATTCATCTAATAGTCCAAAGTATCTTATAAAGATAACTTATGGCTAGCAGGTCACCATCATTTATAGTAACAACAAGAATATAAAGTAGACATTTAAAAAGATTGATGCATGCAGTGTATCATAGTATATTACATATTTTCTATTCATGTGCACCAATTTATTGTGCCTCAAACATAGCAACAAGTATAATATTACAACATATATGTGTATACATCATAGAAGCATGATAAACTCAATTCGAATCAAGAAGAAATTAAATAATTTAGGAACAATAGAACTTCACAATAGAAGTGATGATTCTTTTAGGTTTTTCTTCACTCTTTTGGAAAAAAATAGGACTTTTGTAAACATCTTCATAGCTATCTTTTTTTCAACATATTACTGAAAACTACTCAAATAGTAAATATCTAATTGACATGGATAAAGTATGTCTTAACACACTAACACTTTCAGACAAAAACAGGCATTTGTTAAAAGAAATTATTATAAATATTTTCTATCTTGTATTCTAACTACATTTTCATAAATAATGTATTTAAAAGTGCTGAATATGGTAGGATAGTCAGCAACGCCAGTGTAAACAGAACATTTTGTTTTCTACTCTGCAAACTTTTTTTAATCCCATTTTGTCAAACACTGCAACAGTTAAAATATTTGCATAGGGAATAGATAATAGCCCTTTTAACCATATCTCCTGAATTCTATATAAATTAGAAAATCAAATTCACTTAAAAAAACAATTCTTGAAATGTCTTGTTTTATGGAAAAAGAAACTTACGATGCCAACCTTTCAAGTAAAATAAATTTTAAAAAGAAAACCCCAAACTTGTTTCTTTTAAAAATGTATAATAAATTAAAAAATGAGAGGTAGTTAAAAAATGACAAAAACCTATAATTTTAATATCATCCTTAATATAAGGCCAGTATTCTCAGTGGATATAAATATTTTTAAAACTTTCACTTTAGGTGACTCAATACTATATTTATTAAGTTAAAAAAATAGCCTCCAGGGGATATTAATATTCAAATGTAACACCTTGATATAAATATGACACTGACTTGTGTGTGTGTGCATGATAGGATACTGTTTTCTTGAGTGTCAAAAGTACATGCCAATGTCAGGCAAGTATTCTGTCTTAAAGATTTACCAGTACTTATAAAAAATAATATGGCAGCTAAAGATTTGAGCACTGTACTGCCTTTCAGTTATGGATGAGTATTAATAGTTTGGTTTTAACATTTTTAAAATAAGTCATTCTGAAGATACTATGAAAACAGTTAAGGTCTGAAGTAGAGGATTATCTTCTTCATAACCCTTACAAAACTTCACTTGGTTAAAAACTTAGCTTTTCATTAGATTTTGCTTTCAAGGAAAATATGCCACAGGACAGATGCTATTCATCAAAATGTTTTATATGCTACATGTAGGCATTCCTTTATTAAATCCTATTTTTTTAATATCCCAAAACTAAGTTATCGAGCTTAGTAATTTTTTTCTTGCTAAAGTACATACTTTACACAACCGTTTTAGAACTGGAGAGCCAGTCTTTAATAAGTTAATTACAGTATTGGACATCTGATATATACATAGATTTTCTTCTATTACAATTAAAAACAATTATCACTCTTTGATTTGTCATTGAGATAGAATATCTTCAAATTGTTTTGTGCTTTTTTTCTCTTTTCTTCTTCTTGTTGTTTACATAGCAAACTATTCTGTAAAGAAAATGCCACAGTTTTGGCAGTGAACAACCAGAGGAAATTCCCCCATTAGGATTTCCCAACAAACAGAGATAAATAGCTCTTTTTCCATGTACAGAAATATTGGCTTCAAAATGAGTGTACTGAACACAGTATATAGCATGTTGAATATCATTGTTACAACTTAAAAATTGGCTTTTTCTGTCTTAGATTATATTTAAAAATGCAAACCACAGCCAATTTTTTTGGCAATTATTTCTATAAGACCATATTGCACAAAAGTCCTTAAATACAGATATAAGTTATGCCATTGGATTAAATATTACAACAGCTACGTGGCAAATGAAGCAGTTTTACTTTGCACATGCAGTCTCTGGGGATACGCTAGGAGACTGTTCATAGGACTACAAATACAGTTTGCTTGCAAGTAGAATGAGTGTTGAATAAAACAAACTTAATTTGGCAATTCGTTGTTTTTTGTGGTATTTTCTCCAAACTTAACCAGGATCACCTTGATAAAAATGGAGACAAAGACCATATGGTTGTATTTTCACAGTAGCCTGAGGAATGCTAAACTGGAGTTCTCCAGGAACTCAGTTTCTGGTGTTATTTAACTACTTGTATTTCCCATCCCAGCCCTCCAAAATGATTTTTTTTTTTTTTTTTTTTTAGTGAAAATTAAGATTCAGAAGTAGAGCTGGCAGTACTTTCAACAAAGGACTTATAAATTTGAGAGTTCAAAAACCTTGGGAAAGAATCTCTGTGCATTAAGGTATATATCTGAAGTTGGGCATCTTCATACATGTGAGGATTAGGATCCAACAGATTTCTATTGATCACCTCTCTAACTCGAGAATCGAGACTCACCTAAAAAGAAATAAGAGCAGATACATTAAATAACATTTTTTTTCCAAAAGATCTCAATTAAGTAAATACTGGTTTGTGACATTTCAAAGAAACTTCAAAGAGTTAAATTCAACTGCCTAAAATCTTGAGGTTACCTTTTCTTTTTTCTTTTTTTTTTGAGGTTACCTTTTCCAAGGCTATATAACCTTGCATACTTTTCTTCTTCAGAAGTTAAATTAAAAGAAACAAAAAACAACTTGTCTTTAAAACCAAAAATTCAGTTCACAGATATCCTGGCTCATTTGGATTTTTCTTGTCTATGCATTCAACTCAGGGGGTTTTGATCCATTTCTGTTCATTGAGGCACCAGAAAATCCCTAGCCAGAATACAAATTTTTATCCTTTTATGTGACTGCTGAGGTGACTCTCTTGATGGGATAAGGTAAAAATCTAGCAGAGAGTAGTTCTTTGGCAAAAATTAGCATGATATTGAGTGCTGATTTCCTGATGGTTTTATATCCCAGCAAATCCTACAGCGTCAAAGTAAGAAACCATGAATGTAAAATGGTACAGAAGAGCAAAACCACAGCAGGCATTCTCCATGTCTTCTGTGTATTAAAGAGTAAGTAGAACAGTTGCTTGAAGTGGAGTCTTTGAAAGGAGAAATGTAAGTAGGAATTCAGAATACCCATACAAGTAATCAGTACAGTATTATTTAAAAAGCGTAAATAAGTAAAATTCTGCAAATGATAGCTTTTTGTTTTGTTTTCCCTCACTAAATGCTGATCCTGTTGAAGCTGGTAGGACTTCTGGAAAGGGAACTGGGGAAAAATAAGTAGTTATAAGGGAATGCTTGGGCAACAGAAGTAAGCTCTGCTCTGAAGTGACATGCTAGCAAATCCTAAGAGGCCAGCCATCCCCAATTTGTCCTGATCGGTCTCATTCCTCACTGTTGAACATGGACTAGAGCATTGTGATCCATATTATCTGTCTCATGAGGTACCCAACACTATACAAACCTTTCATATTTATAGGTAAACGTTTTGTCATAAGCATTTCACAAAAGCCTTTTTGGTTCCGGCTTCTTTTCCCACCTGCTGTTTGGATTAAGCCTGGGGTCTAAGTCCTAATGACTGAAGTAGCTCATATTCCATCTGATGTTGCTAGATTCTTGAGCTCTGTGATCCCTATTCCATTGGTTTGATTGCTCCACCCCAGAGATGGTTGCTATGGGAGGGAGATAGTGATCCAGACTAAATTTCTGTGGCTAGCTAGACCAACATTACAGAAAAAATTAAAAGTCTCTTGGCTGAACTACATATTGTCTTATAGGAATTCTTAAAAAAAAGTTCCAGAAATGGATCATTTAGGTTTTATTCTGTGTTACTGCCATTTGAGGTCATCATCAAGTACAAAATAATTTTAAAAATACAGAATTTTTTTCTAAGCTTTTTATTTAAAAATATTGTTTATCTCTCTCTACTCAACAGGAATATTTTGACACTGGAGTTTAAGCCAATTTTATACTGACAAGTGGTGTTATGGTAAGATGAAATCTTACCAAATACATTAAACTGTTTTTGTAGATGTTTTTGCTCTTACTTTTGAACTTGAAATTTTTTGTTTCAATGGAGGAGGAAATGTTACATTAGCAATAAAGAAAGAAAATCATTTATTTTTTAGATAACAGCATAATTAAATATAGTATAATTGTAGCTAGAACCATATTAGTTATCTGGAGACAGAAATAAAATACCTTGAATTATTAAATGTCTTGAGTCCTCATTGTATAATTTTACTTTTTGCAAATTAAAAACAGAGGTGGAAGATCATAGAGAAAGTAATACCATCCAACATTTAGTAACCTGTAACAAAAACTCATTTGTGATTTCTATTTAAAACATAAAATATTTACCTTAATATCTGCTTGTTTGGAAAGGCTGTCAGTCAAAAGAAGTGTAGAGAGGTCAAATAACAAGGATAAACCCCACAGGTATAATAATCTATAGTTTCATCTGGTGGCATCTTTGTGCTTCAGATTGTGGAACATCTATAATACAAATTAGTGGGGGTGGATCCCAGCATGGGCCTGAGCCATAGTCATCATTGGATTCAAGCACAACCAGATGGCTCATAATCCCATCTAATCTGAGGTCCAAGGCTTAAGGGACAAAGAAGTTTCCCATAAATAACTCATCCTAAGGGAAGAGAAAGTTGAAAAGCACAAGACAAGACCTACCATTGGGCAATGGGAATACTGGTAGTACACAGTCCTCATAAACACATCTAGGTAGGGGAAGGGAGGATACAATGCAGCAGTCACAGCATTTAAAAAAAAAAAAAAAAAAGAAGTACTCCTGTGGGATGGGGCACCAGACAGCTCTTACGGATTGGGCAGCATTCACCCAGCAGTTGTAGCAGTGCTGGAAACAGAGGCTGTGTTGGAGAGGTGGCAAGTGAAGTTTAAGAGTTTCATATGACTTTGTGATAGACCTCAGGGACTTGGAAGCATTCAGTCACACAGGGAGCAGGAGACCGGGGAAGAAGAAAAGCAAGTGACTTGTAAACATACAAATATCCACCAGCAACTTCACAAACTAGTTGGGAGGAAAATGCCATGATTGCTGAAGGTTCAACAAAGGTGGCGGTGGTGTGGAGGGGATGAAGACGGAATTCTTGCTAGTGTGGCTTGGGAAAACCTGGCTCAAACTGAGTGATACACCTGCTTCATCTTGTTACATTTCCTACCCAGTAGAGGAAAACATTGAAATAGGTGAACATTGCCAGAGGTTGCACACTACGTTTGACCCTGCATTTCTGTTCTATCCATCAAGATGCAATGGAAATCTTGACTTTGTGGATATTTGGGGCAGAATTTTACTGAAAATGATGAATTTTCAACAGAAGTCTTTTTCCCTTGTGGAAAACCCTCCTAAAATTAATCAGATTAATTCCTTAAACAATTCTTTAGATATCGTGATTATGTTTTTTCCTCCATTTTTCCATTTTATTTTTAATTTTATCGAAGTTGCTTTATTTAGGATTCTTTTTGAAGTAAAATTCTGATTTTTTTTCCCTTTATAAGTTCATATTAAATTTTACCAATGACAGCTTCTGCACTGGAGATGTTCTTTTTAACTAAATTTGGTTTTCTCACAATGTTTTATAAAGAATATCTGATTCTCCCATCAGTTTTAACAAATTTATACCATGTGTATAAATTTGTGTATAAATATGACTTTTAGTCATATTACTTTGTGTTGATTATTTTCTACTGAAAATAGCTATAAATTGCAAATAAGACTATTGGAATTTATCTCTTGGAACAAAGATCACTGGTAGGATAAAGTGCAGTAAACATATTCCTGGTAGGGCTCAAATGTTTCTCTTGCCTGCCTGAGAGACAGTTCAGGCATATAGTTATGATTGCTATTTCTTTTTGTCTCAAGCTCTAAGAATGGGTTTATAGAAATCTATAGAAGTGTCTTGAAGAAATTGCAAGGCAATGGGCTTACCAATCAACATATTACAGTTGTAATATGATTTGGAATCAGAAGACCTTGGGCTGTGTTCTCTCTCTTTCAGATATAGTTCTATTGTCGTAAAGCAGTTGTTTCACCTCTGAGAATCCATTCATTTCCTTTGCTATAAAATGGTGCCCTCTGTCTTAGTGGCTAAAGGATTCTTGTGAGACTTATATTGTAATAATATATGTGAAACCATTTTGTCAATAACAAAGTTTAAGCCCAAAAGTGCTATTAATGATAATAATTAACCTTAAGTTTCATGACACCTTTTTGATCAAGCACACTGTCTTCAAAACTTTCTATCAACTTGAATTTTACCTTCTCAGAGTGACCCTACCTAACGACCCCTATTGTAAACACCCTTGACCTCCACCCCCTTCATGTTTATCACAATTTTTAGTTACTTGCTTATGACATGATTTCTGTCTTCCCAAAATGTAAGCTCTGTAAAAGATTGGCCAATGTTTTTCTCGTTCATCAACATATTCCCAGCATCTAAGCCAGTATCTGGCTCACAGGAAACAGTCAAATATTTTTTGAATGATCATATGCATGCATAAAGAAATGAATCCAGGAGAATACAGTCAAATGAGTCCTGTTTAGAAAAACTAATTTAAATCATTGAAAGTGCTAAATTCACATAATTTTGCTTGGAGAGGCACATACTTGCACACACAGAATCTGCATGTCTATCACATACACATTATTTTTAGATAATTTTGGAATTTAGATAGGTTTACTGTTTTTTTTCCTCCCAGATAGCAACTTGAAAATTCAGAATGAAATCAGAAGAAGCAAACGACTCCTACTACTAATCAAATCACCATGGGAAAGAGCCTGAAAGTCAGAGACTTAATGAGTTTTTGAACTTTTTCTATGCCATTCTACAAAATGAGGCTGAGGCTAGAGACCACTAAAGTGAGTTGCTTAGTGTCATAAGGATGGTAAGTAGTAGTAGGCTGGATTAGGACAATGCCAGCAATGAACAATGATAAGGAAGGACAATGATAAGGACAATGCCGTCACTAAAGAGATTTGCAGGAAACTGAACACAGTTTTCTTCACTTATGTCTTACATTTGTTGCAAGATTCATAATTATTCATTCAATAGATCAATCCTGTTTATAGTAGGTAATGGCTTTTAATAGTTTTTTTTTGAGACTTTATTTTTAAAATAATCTTTACAACCCAACATGGGGCACAAACTTAGTTCAAGCATTGCATGCTCTACCAACTGAGCCAGTAACCCCAAATGGACTTTTTATTAATAAAAAGTTGTTTATTTTGCTGGGTTTATCCTTTCAATTTTTAACAAATATAAGCTGCCATCAGTATCTGCTATTTGCAACAAGATTGCTATTAATCTTAAATTCCTCTTTACTACCCCCATTTTCTCTTTGAGAACATCACATATAAAATTTACTTTTGAAAAATGCTATTCTTTGTTTCTAGTTGTTTTTTTAATCCCAAATTTGGCCCCTTCCCTCTTGAAATGTACGCTATACCAAGAAATGGAAGTTATATTGTCTCCTGATTACAAACATATATTTTATAACGTAATGCTCAAATTATTAAAAATGCCTAAAACATGCTCTTCAAATAATGAAATGTAATTTCAAGTACACTTGCTTCATGAAGAAAATAAGTTCTCTCTATATAAATAATTTCAAGAATGTAGACTTTCTGTTTAGCCAAGAGGAACATGAAAACTCAGTCAAATTAAGATAAAACAAGAGTCTAGGGAAGAAAGATGAGGTTCTAGTTAAGAATGGAATCCATAAAAAAAAAAAAGATGGAATCCATGACAATTTTTAGTCATTTTTATAAATGATTCAAATATTCATGTTTAAAAATATTCTGAATAAGTAGGAACAATAGAGTTTCAGAGGTAGAAAGGCCAGATTGGCCCCCAAATGGGAATTGGGTCCCAACTCCAATTAGTTCGTAGAGGCTGCTTTGAATATTGTGTTGAAAGAAATTCTCAGGTTAATTCTGGGAATAGCAGTGAGAACCATGACTGATTAGCCATGTCACTTGGTGGAGAGAATGCACTAAGTAGCACAGGAGCCTTACCACTATCATTCTGGATTGGTTTACTATTCTTTGTTTCCCTTTTTATTTTTGTAAACAAATTGACTAACAAATTAGAGAAGTGAACTAATTTATCCCAGGCCACACAATCAGGTTGAAGCAGAGCCAGAACCAGTATCCCATGCACTTGAATGATTGGTTCAGTGTTCTTAGTACTATATAGGCAGGGCTGTCTTCATGTGACATGTATTTTCTCCAGTGTCGGAATACAAAATTTGAAGGGTGACTACTGAAATTTATATGCTAATAAAATCCAGGTAGAATTGGTTAGATGCTCAGGTTCCAGATAGTCTACAAACCTGAAGAATGTATTTCTGATGTTAGAACCACAAAGTGGCATCAGTAATAAATGCATTGAGGCTATGAATACTTTTTCTATATTAATGAGGGAAATAAAAAATAAAACAATCTTTGTGTATCCAATTCCAGGTTTTTCATTTTGTAGAGACAGTACTACTGGAGTAGTCTGGAATGCCAATAGTAATTATTACTTAAAAAAAATTTTAAAGCTTAATTAGATATACCTCATTAGAAGTGAAATAGTCTATATAGCCTTCCAAACATAGAGATTGCTAAAGTAGACATGGATTCATTTTATAGATTGCAAAGTGAGGAGTATAAGGCAGTTATTGGGGCCACATCCCTGGTTGGATGAGGCACCAGTGAGCACAGCCTATTTCTAGAGAACTATAAATGTCTGCACACACAGAAGAGGAGTGTGGAGCAGAAGGTAGCAGGTCAGGATATTAAATGCGCAGAAACAAAAGATAAAAAGAGGGTGGTATGGAGAACGGAAGGATTCAGGAACCTCTAAATTCCAATGCTTTAAAGCATGTCTGGAACTCTGTCATTCGGCACTCCAGAGGCCTGGCTACACAACTAATTCCTCCCTCATCAATTGCTTTTAACTCTGGCAGCTGGAGCATTTCTCAGGATAAAAAAAAAAAATTTAAGTTAATGGAAAAGTGTTAATTTGGTTGCTTGAAATGTTCCTTATTTATTAGGTACATTTCGGCAATGGCAAAAATAGAGCACACTTTGAATAACAGGATAATTGGAATGAATAAATGAATAAATAAATAAACAAACAGACAAATAAATAAAATTGTTATTATCCATCTTTCCCCTAAAATAGTAATGGCTCATAAAGGCCCATTCTTCAGTTCTATAAAAAATATCATAAGCATCAACAAACATGGGAAGCATCTTTTTTTTTTTTTTTTAAATCTCCTGTTATAGAGGTTTTCAAACTAGTAATACACATGGAAAGCTTGTTAAAAGTCCAGATTCCTGGGCTCTATTTCCAAAAATTCAGATTCGGAAGTCCTAGGTAGGCCTCAAGGATGTGCTTGTTAAACACTCCAGGTGATTCTCACACAGGAGATCTGGGACCACACTTTGAGAAACACTGCCCCACGGTAAATTCTTGTCCACTTTAGGGTGAGTCACTGTATTCAGCAAATTATACTTAACAGGCTTTGTAATGTTCTGAAAAGCAAATAGCCTACCACACACACAATTCAGCAAGAGATAAATGATCAAAGCATAGTGCAGAAACCTAGCCTTCAAACATATGTTCAGGTAGATTCTCGAAATAAAATCTCACTTATCTATCTAGGGAAGTCTTCTAGCCTCTCCACAGAGCCACATGCATTACCAATGTAGACAGAAGTCCCTTTGGATTCACCCTTGGTCTTAGGAAGCCCACATTAATATTTTCCAGATTTTTACCTCTTTTGGTGATAGTATAGAAATGTAATCTTCATAGATCATTCTGGCCTTTTCTTCAATGACTTTTTTGTTCTGCTCTTTCTTTAAGTCTTCACAAGCAAGCCAGAAAAGTAGGTTCTCTTCACTGTATTCTGTTCGGAGAAACTCTCTGAAAAGGTTTCTTCCTGCTGGGGCCTTCATCATCTTGTCAAAATTTTGAGACCAGGACAAGACTTCATCTGAAGTAGGATTTTGACTGCAAAGACAGAATTGGGCCATAATCAAAGGCAACTTGGACCTAAAAATTCTTAGTCCAGGTAGGGGAGAAAAGATAGAAACGGCTATTTACTTGCTGCCATCTAGTGGCCACTGCCCATTACTTTGGCCAGATCTGGCAAGTGTCAAGACGAGGCTTAGTTATTTCTGGGTAATAAGAAAAATTCATTTTGGCCCAAATGTGTGTTACAGAGCAAAGCATTCAAATAGCAAGGGGCTATGTACACTATGCACATGGTTATCTCAAATTTGTAACGAAGCCTGGAAATGTTCAGACCTTAATGTATTGCAAGTTGACAAAGACAGCCTATGCATTAATTTGAAAGGCAAACTGAATTTTTTTGTTTGCATCTGATGTAGATTTATTTATTTATTTCTATTTTTTGATGTAGATTTTACTGTTAAAGCTATAAGGTACACATTCTCTTGTCTTCTCTGATAGCTACTTTTTCATTTGTCACTAGATCTGAAATAAGAATACATTGTGTGTACTTGTTACATATTTTCCTAGGCTCTATCATTACTATATTTGAATATTATGAATGAAGTATTACACATGAATGGCGTATGAGCGTTAAAAATCGCAGGGCCTTTATAATGACACTGAGGACTTTCTAGATATTTATATTCAAATTTTCAGTGACTATGTCCATGCAGAAAGCACCAGTTATTACTCCCTTTGCTTATACATCAAAGACACGGAAAAGAGAAGCTTGGAGATTCTCACAGTAAATTGGTCCTGATCTTCCTTTCCTGTCCATTGGTTTATTTAAGAATTTTCCAACCTCCTCAAAGTTAAAAGTAGAACTACCCTATGATCCAGCAATTACACAAGTAGGTATTTATCCAAAGTATACAAAAATACTAATTCAAAGGGATACATGCACCCCAATATTAATGGCATATCTACAATAGCCAAATTATGGGAAAAAAAACAAGTAATGAATGAATAAGGAAAACATGATTTATATATATAAATCACACACACACACAAACACAAGTGGAGTATTACTCAGCAATGACATGGATAGAATTAGAGGGTATTATGCTAAGTGAAATAAGTCAGAAAAACACCATATGATTTCACTTATATATGGAATTTAATAAAAGCAATAAAAATTAACAAAGGAGAAAGGCAAACCAAGAAACAAGACTCTTAACTCTAGAGAACAAACTAATGATCACCAGAAGGGAGGTGGGTGGGGAAATGGGACTAGGTAATGGGGGTTAAGGAGTACACTTTTTGTGGTGAGCACTGGGTGATATATGAAAGTGTCGAATCACTGTATTGTACACCTAAAATTAATGCTATGCTGTATGTTAAATGGAATTTAAATAAAAACATTTTAAAAAAAAGAAATAATTTTCCAACCTGAAATACACTTGGTCAAAGAAATATTTGTATTTTATTTTTTATTTTTTGACTAAGCATTTTAAATAGATGCTACTATTCCAAAATATCTGAACTTCCTCATTCATTTAAAAAATTTTAAGATGGAAAAATTACCATGAAGCACCAACATTAAGATACTTTCATAGGAAGCAGAAAAAGAAAGCACCTATAATTATACAAGTAATCTACGTGTATTTTAATTTTGTTCTATAGATATTACAATGAGAAGTTGATTTTCATTTTGGAGAAAATACTTGATTAGAGTCTGTTCTGATGGAAAATGGAAGAGGGACTAGCTGAGTGCCCTTTCTGACCAACTTTGGTAATTATGTATCTTTTTGTGTGTATTTTAGACTCTCTGATAAAGAGCAAAATGCAGAAAAAAATATTCATGGAAAAGAGAAGAATTAGGACAATCGGGGGCTAATTCATTTTAACATTCATTCCTTTTTTGAAAGAGAAAGATAAATTCAGGCAGTGTTTTAGCTGATAGCTGAACACAGTTAATAGAAAAACTGATGAAAAGCAGTTGCCATCACAAAATAAGATCTCCCAGACTGAGAATACATTCATTTCACAAGACCATCTTGAGGGGTACCAGGACACGAGATACTTGAGCATGGAGTAGATGTAAATGGTGTACAAATACAGGACACAATTACAAGGTAAAAAACACTTACCATTCCTCTAGGACTTGGATACTCTCCATTTTTGTGGTATGTGTGGGTCTTCCTGCATTTTCCCCTCTTTCTTCATTCCTAACAGTGAGGCTGCAAGGTAGTATAATACTTTATTGTGTCTAGGGAAAACCAATTATTTAAAGAAAAGAAAAAAAATGGCAGAAACTATTTCATAGAAGAATTTTATTTTTAACTATGTGAGAATATATAAAGTACACAAAGAGTGATGCCATTTTTAAATGGGGAAGCCTATATTAATTAAAGAAATGAAAATAATTTAGCAAAATATTGAAGTAAATAATCTCAAAAATGGGTACTGTTATACGTTCTGACTTCATCCTTACATAATTTGAATTACTTAAGATCTCCCAAGATACACAATTATATGCTTTAATATTTGATATACAACATCATTGTTACTCTCTGGAGTAATGTCATTTTGACTTTTGGTTAGTTCTATTCACTGTTTGTTTTCTATTTATTTTCCCCCACTAATAGCTAAGAAGATAAAATGTTTCAGAATCTAAAACAAAATTTGCTCAATTCACATCATCATTTTCTGCATCCTAGGTATTCTGTCCCTGATACCATCAATCCTCCATCCACTCAAGTTCGAACTACTGGATTTATATTTGACTTTGTCATTGTCCTTCCCTCCCGTTTAGTCAGTTGTTCATGTCTTGAGAGGGGCAGGCCAGCCACTGTGAGGGTATGGGTAGGAGCATTGGGTCAGAGGGGTCTCTGTGTCTCTAGAAGGTAAATTTTAAAATTCTGCAGGATTTTAGTTCTGCTTTAGTAACCCAGAACACAAATTGTCCGATTCAGGAAAACTGCTGCTGAGCAGCACTATAGGGTGGAACACTCAAGGTTCCAGATGTAAACAAGACATAATGAGGAAGGTTATGGGCAATACTGTGTATTGGGATGACTCAATGGTCTTGAAAATTTGAGCTACTGAATAAGCAATTAGCAAACTGATCCCTCTTTCTAGAAGCCCTGAAGCTTCATGGGAGCCGGTCAGAGACAAAAAGTTCAGATAACATGCCTTTCACTTGTTGGACATTCATTTATTCAATGAGGGGAAATGGAAACTATTATTTTCTAGTGCCTATTATGTGCCAGGCGCTGTCCTTTTTATTATGCCCATTTTATAGATGAGCAAACAGAGCCACAGAGATGTCTAGTAGGTTGGCCCAACATTGGACACTAAATATGTTGTACGGTTGTAATTTGAATCCCATTCTATCACACAACTCTGTACTCTTTATTGAGTACACTTTAAAAATTATGCTCTCTGATAGGCATCGAGGCAATATACTACTTGTGTGAATGAATAAAAGGGGCACTAAATATGGTTGTGGTGGAAAGAAGGGGGCTAGTGGGATGAGGATTCCAGCAAATTATTGTTGTGAATTTGAGAAGTTCGGTAATGAAGTGGAGACATCGTCTCATTAATTCAATTTTTTTAAGATTTATTTCAGACAGAGTGTGTGCATGTGCACATGAATGGGGGGGAAGGGCAGAGGGAGAGAATCCTCAAGCAGATTCCAAGCTGAGTGTGGAGCTCAATGCAGGACTTGATCTCACAACTCATGATATCATGACCTGAGCCAAAACCAAGAGTTGGACACTTAACTGAGCCACCCAGACACTCAAATATTAATTCATTCTTTCATTCTCATAGGCAAGAGGAAGGAAAGAGAGAATGTTGCAAAGGGAAGAATCTAAAGAAGAGGGGCCAATCTGCAACTGAAAGAGACTAGATAGGAAAATCTACTTGGGAAAAGTAGACTACCCGGATAAAAGAGAACTCAATGGGATTTGCAAAGGTGGTGTGGCTAAAAGGATTCTGGGAAGCTGATTGTTACTTAAACACCCAGCAAACTGACTAGTGTTCAGCAGAGAAGCAGCTTATAATCAAGCAGCAGGTCCAGGCTTATAATCAATCCTCAGAGCCTTCAGTGTTGGGAAGGGGGAAAACTGTGAGGTGGGATTCAGAGAGAGAGAGCAGCATAGTTGTTTATGTCTCTGCATGTGGAGACTGAATGTGTCTGCACTTGATGTAATCTAGAACACTTAGCCCTCAATGTGGCAACACACTTAGGTCAGGGAGGTGAGAAGATCCATTAACTTCTCAAAGTACCTCTGAGTAGGAGTGCTTCTCTGGAAGTTGATGTATTTCTAGTAACTATGGGAAAGTGGGTGGGAGGAGGTAGGAATACACTAGTAACAATATCCTGTGAAATTTCCTGGGAGAAATTCATGATGCCAAAGTATATAAAATATGCAGCATTTTTGTAAATTCTGAAAAGATCATATTGAAATAGGAAATTAATACTTATCCTGCCAAGCTTTACTGAGCTTGTATGTGCATATGTGCACACACATAGTAAAATACCATAAAAAGGCCAGAAAATGAGCCTGGTTTCACTGATTAAATAATAACCTCCTTGAGAATGTATTTCTGTTACATTTCCACAGTGTCCCACAGAGTATGCCATGCAAATGCAGCTGTACTTCACTTTATGGAACATCTTATTGAAAAAATCTGTTCTCAAAAAATAAAAATAAAAAATTTGTTCTCCATTGCGTCTTTGCTGTAGAGTAACAAATCTGGGATCCACATGCATGATTCACAAGTTTCTGAACAGAAATTCTGGCTCTTAGATCTGTTTCTGTGATATTTACAAACATCTCAAATGCCACCATATTAGAATGATCATCATGAAATATTGGGTTGTGTTTATATCTTTCATTTCTACAGATGGTAAAATATGGACACACATTTGTACCAAAACTGCTTATGATGGATATTCAATAACTGTTCACTGCTCCATTTCTTGATCTAATATCGGATACAACACTGCCCTGTAGAAAGAAACTGACTTTCAGCAATTGTCAAGCATTCTTTTAATTAATTTTCCTTTACTACTATTCTTAAAAAATTGGTTTCAGAGTTCCAATTATCAAGAACCACTGATAATGCCACTTTAAGATGAAGACAAATGGATAAAATGATAAAGGAGTTGGTACTAGACTGTTTGCCAACCATGTCTTAGAAATGATAAATGTCTGTCCCCGGTTTCACTTGGTTTTGCTCTAAGTAATATAGTGGAGCTTTTTTTTTTTTTTAAGGTAATAAATGACAGGAAATATTTGCTCTAGATAAGTACACACACACACACAGATAGATCAGGATAGATAGATAGATAGATAGATAGATAGATAGATAGATAGATGATATACTCATGCTTGAGAAAAGCTTTAGAAGTAAATCAAGTTTAACAGTTATGAGGGGGTCGGGTGGAAATATGTTTTTTTTCACTTTTACAATGTTTACAACTTTTTTTTTAAAAAAGATTTTATTTGTTTACTCATGAGAGACACAGAGAGAGAGACAGAGACACAGGCAGAGGGAGAAGCAGGCTCCATGCAGGGAGCCAGATGTGGGACTGGATCCCAAGATCTGGTATCACGCCCCGAGCCAAAGGCAGACGCTCAACCACTGAGCGACCCAGCCGTCCCTGTTTACAACATTTGTAACCAACAATTCTGCTTTTTAAACAACTAAAGCTATAAAGAGAATGCATGTACAATGCTCACTGTAGGAGTCTTGATCAAAGCTTAAGTATTTTATAGAAGACAGTGCCAATAATCTAGGCTAAGTATATTAAAATAAGCATTTAAAATTCCATTAGAGGGATCCCTGGGTGGCGCAGCAGTTTGGCGCCTGCCTTTGGCCCAGGGCGCGATCCTGGAGACCCGGGATCGAATCCCACATCGGGCTCCAGGTGCATGGAGCCTGCTTCTCCCTCTGCCTGTGTCTCTGCCTCTCTCTCTTTCTCTCTCTGTGACTATCATAAATAAATAAAAATTAAAAAAAATAAATAAAATTCCATTAGAAATCTTCTGGAGTGGCAACTTTGAGAAGGGAGAAATACATTTGGTACATTTCAGAAAATAAGGAAATCTGCCTTCTTTGTTTAGGGGTGAATTGTTGGTTTGTTTACAGGAGAGTCAGGCCAGTGGGGTGGGTAAACATTACCTGCTGCTTGTTGCAGAGCTTACCTACTGATTCATTATCATGGATGTGTGTAGGTCCTATTTTGGAAGACAGTCTACTTTTGTAGGAAAAACAACTAGTTCTTAGGGAGAGCCCTTGAAATAGTTGTCAATAAGATGAAAACTTTACAGTAGCTACGGTAACTCTAGGATAGAGGCCAATCACAAAACCACATATATTTATACAAAACCTCAACTTAAGAATTCACATGATGCTTGAACTTAATTCTATGACTTCAAGACTGGAGAAAGATTCACTGTCATTGGTAAAGACAGATACTATTCAATATCTTAAAATTCTCACAGTAGATCAGTTTTTCTTTTTTTATTTAATAGCTTCTACCTCAAATTTTCCAGTGCAAAAATGGAATCAACATCCTTCAGGCTCTGAAAAAGAACTGGTAGGTTATTCTTTAAATCTTTCATTTTTTTTCTCAGTGAAAATACCATGATAAAATAATACTACCGCTTTATTTAGGAGTCAACAACAATTTATAAATATGTATGAGACACCTGGTTCATGCAATGTAGCCTGGGATGGAAATTCAAGATGAGTATGACAGCCTCTGAAACTGAAAAGATCTGACAATAATCACACAGCACTCAATGAGAGCTAAAATAGTGGTGTGCATATAGTGTTTCTTAGGTAGTTGGAGTGTCTATGCATTTGCATGAAAGATTTGAGGAGGCTTCGCAGAGGAGGTAATGATTAATCTGAGCTGAACAAAGAACAGGTGTTTCAGATGGAGACCAGGACAAAGGGAATTCCAAGCAGAGGGGGGATGTCACATGTAAGAGTTGTAAAAAGCCATGATATGAATGTAGGTCAAAATGGGCAGATCAGATGTTTCAGGGTGGGAGCAATAAATGAGAATAGGCAGTGAGGTGTGCTTATGTAATGGGCCAAGAAAACAACAAGGTGCTCTCCAAATGTAAAATATACCTTTATAATGACTTTAGCTTTCCATGCTTTATTTTCCTCCACTCATAATGGGGATAATGTTAAGATCCACTATACACACAGTTGT